TATATATATATATATATATATATATATATATATATATATATATATATATATACTTGTAAAGGTTCTAGGAACCACTAGTAAACCTGCAGATTGAGAGCGAGGTGCTCTGTTGGGAACATTAGGAACAATCAGCCACGTCCGTCGTTGTGAAAAAGTTCCCATCAGATCCTCCATCCAAGTCTCCTTCCCCCATCATTAAGCCCACAGCCTGCCACCCATTCTTTCCACGACTAAACCGCCAGCGTGGTCCACGCCCGTGATCTGCGTGTCGTTCATGCACCATAACAGGAATACGAAAAAGAAAACTAATTATACGGTTGGTGTAGAAATGTTATAGCATTTTAGCCTACTTGATATTTCTAAATGTGGTGAGTAGCAGACCTCTTAGCGGTGCGCCTCTACATTACGGTGAAATTGGAATATTTATGTGTTGAATCATGAATTAGTGGCATTAGTTCAAATGCTGTGTAAAAAAGGGATAAAAACTTAACACAGGTGTGAATAAACGCTTGACAGATATATATTTTGTTATTTATTAAAATTTAATAGCTTTAAAACTGAGCGTACAGCTTTTAATGACATTTTAAAACGAAATTGAAGATGAGCACTTTTTAATCCGACTGTCCTTGAACGCACCGTCCGACCCAGGGGGCGTGGCTGACCGGCTTTCTCTGAAGCTCAGACACAATGAGCCGTCAGACGGAGAGGGGCGCGCGCGCTGGGCCCGGGCTGTTAGCATGATTTTACAGCTTTATTCTTCTAATTGTGCCTTGATTTGGTTTTATTAGCGTGTTTTTAAACTTCTGACGCATCGAAGGATCCAAACGACATCCGCCGTAAAGCAGGTTGGCCCCCGACTTTGAGGAGGAGGAGGTCAGGATTGGATCAACGTCACAGTTCGTCCGACATAGCGAGACTTTTCCAAAGAAAAAGCCAAAGCGGAGGAGGAACCATGTCGCTGCCCGCTTCGTCTGATTACTTCGCCGCCGAGTGTCTGGTGTCGATCTCCAGCGGTCCGGTCCTGCACAGACCCACCCCGGTGGCCCCGGCCAGCCTGCCCGCCCCGGTGGGCCTTCACCCCGGGGAGCCCGACGGCTCCAGCGAGGACCGGGAAGTTCGAGAGACTTTAAGGCTGGAGGGCTCCAACATCATCACGGTGGCGGGGATCCTCACCGACCTGCACAGCAAGTTCCGCCCGATGTCGGCCTACTCGGAGAGCAGCAACTCCTCGTGCGGTGGGGAGAGCGGCTACACCACGTTGTCCGACCCCACCACCCCGACCATGACTCCCTCAGCGACGCCCATCCCCGGACAGCAGCAGCGGGGCGCCGGGCCTCCGCGCTCCCCCGTCAAGCGGCACCAGTGCACCTTTGACGGATGCGACAGAGTTTACGGGAAATCATCGCACCTGAAGGCGCACATCCGGACGCACACAGGTAGGCACGAGCCGCCGGTTACATCAGGCTGCCTGCCTCCATTGTTCCCCCGGCTAACAGACAGACAAACAGCCGCGCGAGCCGAACTTTTATTAGCGTGACTCCATGTTTGATTCATTTATCGGGTTTGTTCGATAAACGGAATCAAACAAAGAAAGACGAGAATAAAAAGGAGAAAAAGTGACAAAGAAGGAAAGTAACAAAAGAACAGGGCTGGACGTTAAAAGCTGTGACGAAACTTTTCCTCCCCGCGTGATTTGCATATGAAATGAACGTAAGATGAAACCTGAACGTCAGGGACACGGAGTTCACCAGCAGACACGTTTCTGGCAGCAAGTGCGGGATGGGGGCGGCTCACCATCATTCACCATTATTCACCATGGTTCACCACCAACGCTCTGCTGTAACTCAATTATTCATCCCACCATCAGCTGCACGCGCTCCCTCATGGACACTGATAGATGATCTATTCATTTTACATCTACTGCGTTAAAACTGAACATAAGAGGCGGTTCTGGCATGAACGGGGCCCTGGGCAAGCCCCCCGCCCCCCCACATAACCACATCCAAACAGACACTCCTCTGACTGGAGGATTAGGGGCAGGCTACAGATTATTTTTTTAGTTCCAGAATAAAGTTTCATTATTGCGAAAACGAATTAGTATTATTAAAATAATAAATTCATAATATTCAGAGAACATGGTGGTAACGTTACGAGAATAAAGCAGTAATATTACCTGAATAAAGTGGTAATTTTACGTGAATAAAGTGGTAAAATCATGAGAATAAAGTGGTAACGTTAAAAGAATAAAGTGTAATATATTTCATATTTAAATTACTTTCAGAAGTTTGTATTCTGAATAAGAGCGGACTTTTCCTTTAAAAATCAAATATGTATTTAAACCAAGTTAGAGGATGTAGGTACAAAAAACAAATTTTAGCTTTTTAAAGTCTGAAATATTAAAAATTATCTCAGTTCACTGACATAAAGTTATGTAACAAAGAAACAAGAAAGTGCTTGATTAAAAGAAATTTTATAAAATGGAAATTTAAAAGCCAAAATGAATGAATCTTATAAACATCTTTCCTAGATAAACATTTAAAAAGGTATTTCCCTTTTTTGTTTTTTATCACTTTGCATTTTTAAATGTTGTAATTTCATTATTTCGCCCTTCATATTGACCCAAAAACAGCTTTATTAACCGTTCAGCCAAAGTTTATAAGCAGGTTAGTAACGGCTTATTAACGATGTGGCGCTAAAGCTAAAGGGAAGCCACCAGTGATGGGTGCGGTAGCACCAACGCGTGGGTGGAGGCGTGGAGCGCATAGAGCTAATCGCTGCATCGCTGCATGTGGCGTTTTACAGAAAGTCATGTGACCGATCCTGGAGTTGTTTCTAACCTTGAAATCCCACCTCCTCCGTCCCGCTGCGCTGCAGACCGCCTGCTCCAAGCAGAGCCGCCGCTGCTCCTCCCGTCCTGCTCCGCTCCGACCTCCTCGGAGCTCGAGGAGAGCAGGCGCTACATTATCATTACATTGATGGGAGCAAAACATGCAGGAATGAACGATTAGTTTAATACGACATATTCAAAAAATCAGCATCCAGCAGATGTTCGGTTTCTGCCCAAATATTTACTTTTTGTTGTGGATTTTTTTACTTAAAAAATAGTTTTTAATGAACTGTTTGTTCTCTGCTTCCAAACGCAGCATCTCTTCATCCAGGCCTGCGATAAGAAGTTTATTTTTACTGGATTAGATTAAATTATTTTAATCCTCTCGGTATAAAATCAATAATCTGATTTAGATGAGAAATCTGCTTCCTGGTTTGTTGAAGCACCAAAACTTTGCATCCAATCATTAATTAAACTGAGTTTTCAGGAATATCTAAGAATTATGCTGTAATTTGTAATTACCGATCCGTCGTCACTATATTTTTATTTGAAAAACCGGATCTTCTCGATGTTGTTTTTCCTGTTTGCTGTGATTGGAATCGCGGATCTCCGGCGTACATGTTTAAAACGTGTCTGTTAACATGATGCTAAAAAATGTTTAGCATTAAAATGATCCAGAATTTCTGTGTCTAAAAGGAATAGGAACGTTTCAGCCGTTGCATTTTTATTTTTCTCGTCTCACACTTTTCCTCTCAGTTATCAATCAACTTATCCAAATTTTGTTTTAAAATTACGATTTAAAATCCTAATCCACCAGCATCCTCAGTAATATTTCCCCTAAATGTTCACCTTATATGTTTATAGTTTAAATTTAAACATAGATATGAAATAATAGAATATAACCTCCAATAACTGCAATGCTATCATTGTTCCAGGTCATCAGATCCGTTCAGTTTATTCTGTCCAATCAGCTGCCTGTAGTGTCTTTAAATGTCCAGCAGGGGTCAGTAGAGACGCCTCATTAACCATCATTAGAATCCATGAAGTTTAAAGAGAGTAATGCAATAAAAAAAAGGAATAGGAAAAAATAAATGACCTTTTTAAATTTTTAATAAGGAAACGTATGTATGAGCGGATTTAGGAATTATGGTTTGTTAAACACCATTTACACATTTGATTCAAAAATACATTTTTAAATGTTATAATATAGTTTCAATTCCTCTTTGATATTATATATAGGGCTGCAACTAACGATCATTTTCCAAATCAATTAATCTCTTGATTATTTTTTCGACTTTGAGCCAAAGGTTCCTTAAAGGACATTTTAGTGAAATTAAAAGTTTCCCACCTGAGTTAATTTTTAACAATCTGCTCTCAGCAGGTCGCTCTGTCAGGTTTTACCGTCTCTATACTCCAGTTAACGATTAATCAATTACTAAATTAGTTCACTATTTTAATAATCAAGTCCAGTTAATTGATTCAGCACTAATTACATATCAAATCTGCAATTACAAAACTTTTTTTTTTTTAAACAGGATTATTTTAATCGATTTAAAATAGGGAAGCCATTTTTTGCCCGATAGACGTTTAAAACCATTTTGCAGTGATTCTGTTGAGCTAAATGGCAAAGTGGTAAATATTTTGGTGCTTTTGTTATTGAATAGTTTATAACTTATTGAAATGCATTGAGTGGAAGTTTTTTAAATTAGATTTGGTACCAAAAGAACTCAGATTTTAATATTCAGCATAACTTCAGTATTTTGGATTTTAGGCTTCGCTTCCTAATTTTTTACTTTTTTGGCCAAAAATTGTCATTTTCTGGTGTATTCCTAATTTAAAATGTTAAATCTAAAATCATATTTCTTTTCCACTGACTCTCATGGTCCTCCATATTATGGGAGGTTGTAATAAATAGATTATCTGTACTTTTTCTCTTTTGAATTAACAGAAATCTTTGACACAAAATGACGTCTTTGGCTGCAACTAACGGATATTTTTCAAATCTATTAATCTGTTGGTTATTTTATGATTGATCGATTAATAATCCGACAGCCAAAGGTTCCTCTAAGAAGATTTTTAGCTAAATTAAACCAGCTGAAGCTAAAACTTTTCCACTGGAGGAGTTCTGGATAAAGCAGATTGACAGATGAAAAAGATTTTTTTTTATCTTAAATGCCAAAATGTTTATATATTCGTTTACAATCTTGATATAATTGCTGCTCTGAGTGAGTCGCTCTGTCAGCTAAAGGCACGTTTTACCATCTCTAAACTCCATTAACGATTATTTCAATAATGGATCAATCTGATTAATTGATTCAGCCCTAATTACATATCAAATCTGCAATTAATTGACCTTTTTTTTTTTTCAAAGGATTATTTTAATCGATTTAAAATAGGAATGCCATTTTTGGCCGGATAGACATTTAACACAGAAAAAAAAACACGACTGAAACTTTGTGAAAAAGGCCGATCGAGCACTAGGAGAAACGATTACAATCAAACATCGCAGCCAGAACGCAAAAACAGAGTCCAGATTTCTGCGTTTGCATGTTTTTGACGCCCTTAACGCCTTCGGTGTGAACACAGCATTAAGGCCAGTTTATGCTTCTGACTCGTTGCCTCTGAAACCGTCAAATCTGTCTCTGTGCGCGACCACGCCCCCCGTGTAGATGCTCTGCAACCGTCGTCGCGCACCTCAAAAAAATCCTGACCACACATCGCAGAAGTACGCAGACAAAAAGCAGCCGTTGGTTCTTGCTTTGCCTTTCCGGCTGTCTGTGTGGTCGTTCTTCTCGGTTCGGTGCCGGGGCGCGCCATTTTTAAAATCGAGGAACAATAGAAAACTGTGATAAAAGGTTAATCGAGGAGTTTCGCTCCATTAACAGAACTTGTTCCTCCTCCACGTCTAGCATCTCTAGATCTATCTCCGTCAGCGTGATATCTTCCAGACGTGCCATTGTTGTTTTGGAAGATAAACACTCCCGCCGGGCGCCATCAAAGTTCTCGTGACCATCCGTCGAAGCTCTCTAATAGGCTCCTCCTACGCTTTGGCGGGAAGCTGCTGAGCTTCCGTGGAAATTCCAGACCGACGGTGCAGAAGCGTAGCAGCTAAACTGGTTCGCGACCAAAACCAAGCGACATTTGATGTGTGTGGCTGCAGAAGTCTAATCTGCCCTTTATTCATTGTAAACTGGCGCCACCTGCTGGTAGTCATTTATCACGCATCTCACCACACCTGTCCCTGTTGGCATCAGATATTTTGTTGGTGGTTTTTCAGCTCTTAATCTTTCCTCCATTGAGGAAATGCTGACGGCGCTCTGCTCCGTCTGCAGGCATCATGAATAAAACCAAAACATGGAGGAGGATGAGCCGACAGGGCGCCGCAGATAAACCAGGAAGCCTTTGCTTTAAACCAGAGACGCTGGCTTGGAATTATGAAAACTTACATTTATTAATCTATGTTGAAAAATGTAGAGATGGAGCTATTTGCGCCTGTTCTTTTATTGTAAATATACATTCTGTATATTGGGTGAGGCCTTCAGCTGGTCTGTGGATTAGGATTACAGTCAGTATCTGGGAGCAGAGATTGCTGGGAACGCCCACAGAGGGACGGCGTCTATCTGCGACACGGTCGGGCCTTTGTGGTCCTGGAAACGGCAGCAGAGAGCATCCTGACGGGCGTTGACTCAGGAGATTAAAGATGGCAGAATGTGCAGAGAAAGGCCAGTCACGGGGGTCCTAATCCCAGATGGGGCCTGTCATCTTTAATCCCAGCTTGCTTTTAGGATGCAGAGAGATTTTCCACTAATTTTCCTCCGTACAATACATGATTGTACGGGAACAAAGACGACATGCAGAACCCTGCATCGTTGGACCCAGAGGGAGATTAATACGTTAGTCCTAATCCAGATTCAGCGCTGAGCCTTTAAAGGGCCAGTTAGAAATGCAAACTGGGGCCGTTAGAGATGAAAGGGAGAAAACAGAGAAATGTTAAATAGAGATGAAACAGTTAATTGGATTAATTGATTATTAAAATAATAATTATCTGGAGTTTAGAGACTATAAAACCTGACAGTGACTCACTTAGAGCAGAAACTGTAAGAAAATATCAATATTTTACATTTAAGATTAAAATGTTTTTATTTCGTCTGTCAGTCTGCTCCATCCAGATGGAAAAGTTTAGTTTCAGCTGGTTTAATATTCCCGAAAGAACCTTTGGCTGTCAGATTATCAATAATCCAGAGATGAATCTATTTGTAAAATAATGATTAATTGCATTTAATTAATAAATGATTAATGGAGTTAATTCTGTCTATAAAGCTCTTCCTTCCCGTCTGACTGATGTTTGTGCTCCGCTGCAGGCGAGCGGCCATTCCCCTGCACCTGGCCCAAATGCGAGAAGAAGTTCGCCCGCTCCGACGAGCTGGCCCGCCACACCCGCACCCACACCGGGGAGAAGCGCTTCCTGTGCCCGCTGTGCGACAAGCGCTTCATGCGCAGCGACCACCTGATCAAGCACGCCCGCCGCCACCCAAACTTCCAGCCCTCCATGCTGGCCCGCTGCAAGGCCCCGCCCGCTTCGTCCCGCCAAGCCGCCCACACCTAAGGAGGCGTCGGAGCGAAACTGGTTTCCTGTTAATCCCACAGGTGCAGAGCTGGATGTCAGAGGCTCTCTGTCTCACACAGATGTTCTTCTGCTTCCTCTGAACGCAGCCTCCAGCAATCTCCTAGAAGAAATCTCCCCGTTTCAGTTTCTCCTTTCCTAAAATCAACCCTACTGCTGCACATGCCTGTAAAGTTTACAAACTCAGATCGGACGGAGCCTTCAGGGTGGATGAGGCGTTATTCACCACAGAGACGGATGGTTAAACCGCCCCCCCCCACCCTGACGCTTAAACAGCTGAAAAGAGTCGATGAAATCCACACATACCAAAAAAACATTCCCGATCCCGCAGCAGGATGTGATGCGATCACATCCATGATTTCCAGGCTTTGGTTTGTTTTTAACCAAATGACTCTGAATACCTCACAGTTCAAACGGATCCGCGGCGCCGCGAATCGCTTTGTGTCCCGATTCTTCTTCCTCTTTGACTGCGACAAGAACAGTGGAGTAAAACTTAAGCCATAAAAGACTCCGAACAAACTCAACCTCTCAGATTTCAAGTGGCAGGGATTTTTCTTCACCTTTTATGATTTATGTAAGAAAAACAAAAGCTGTTAATTCCTCCTCATTCATCCTTACGACGACGTAGCTAGGATTAATCTTTGCTTTAGCCGTGTTTTTGTTTTTAGATGTGAACCATTCATGTTTCTCCATCATCATAACCCGACGTTTTCATATCAGATCTGATTTTTAACGGAAAGCTGAACAAACCTCCCAGTAGATGAGCAGTTTGCACACCACTCTGAAGGCTAGATGAATTACCTGCACATAATACGCTGCAGTATTATGTCTAATAATGATGCAAATGTATATAAGCTTTAAGCTTTTACTGTAGAGTAAGTGGTAATGCTACTAGCAGCAGAAATGATACACGTAATGCATTGTAGTCCTTATATTAGGGGTAACGTTATGCTCGATAGGATGGCTTTGCCAGTGAGAGGTGGAGTGTGTGTGTGTGTGTTTTCTTTTTAAAGGATAGTGATTGAAGTTGTAAGGCTGTTGTGCAACAGTGTGTAAAGTTTGGACTTTTCTAGCAGAGGGTGGATGTGCTTTTAGCTCGGCTGCCTTCAGGGGAAAACCTCGCCATTGTCTGAGTTGTGGGAACAGAACGTGTCCGACCGCCTGGGATCAGGCAGAAAGATCTGGTGCAACACTTTTTGTTGATTTGGGGAATCCAGAGTTGCTTTTTGGGGCGTTTTGGATCATCAGAGCTGAAGAGGATGTTGAATAAAGCGACAGCGGCCTTTATTAGCCTAAAAAATCTAACTGGTTTGGACAGATGCTGCTCACTTTCAGCTGTTTTCATCCTCCTCGGGATTAAACAGGGTCTGTAACTATGACCCACTGTCAGGTTTCTGTGGCTCCAGATTATCTGGTCAGGGATTCTAAATGGACATATTTCCACCAAAGGAAAGGGGTCCAAACATGACGTTATGTCAAAATGCAAGCATAAACTCCAATTCCCTGCTAGCAGAAAAAGTAATATGTTGCATAAATCCTTCCAAACCTTTCAAAATATTAAAAAAATTCATTTGTAATAGGCTTTTTTTCCCCACAAAAAAAAAGTTAAATTTTAATAAGGTACCAAAGGTTTTGAAATAATTGTAAAAACATTTGTTTCAATGTTACCTATGATGTTTAAAAAGCACATTTTCACTCTGAGGTCTCATCAGGGGGCGACGTTGAGCTGGTAAAAAAAGCGGAAAAAGAAAAGTTAGGTGTTTTTTTTTTTTCTTATTGTCCCGAAAAAAATGGTAAAGTGAACGATTAGTGAGTCAGTTTATTCTCTGGAGTCGTCTGTGTGGGTGGAGCTTATTTAGCTCCTATTTCAGGACCTTCCTGCTTCTGGTAAGGAAAGGGACGGATATTATCTGTCAACCAGCAACAGGTTGGGGAGGTGCTGCCCTGTTATGTAGTCTATAGAGGTTAAATATGCTCTCTAGAAACGTGCTTCTATCTAAAACGTCTTTATTATGCTAAAATCTCAGTGGAGTGAAACTCCAAATCGATGAACCTCAGTCGTCCATCATTTTTAAGCCCAGGCGTGATTTTCCTCGCTCACATTACTTTCATGTTAGCTAACACAGAGATGTTGGAAAGCCTTAACCATCGTCATAGCAACCCATCCATCGCTGCATCATCATCGTCATAACGGCGGATATTCCTCCTGAAAACGCAAAATGAGGCACTTTTTGTTTGTTTTCCCTGAAAGGTGCGCATGGCGGCGCTGTTACTGAGTCTCTACATGCAAACACTGTGGAAACGTTAATAATCTTCATAACGGATCATTTGTGTAAAAGTTTGTTTTAAAAGTGAACGGGAAGGTCGCGGCTTTTAGGCGTCCTTTGGGTTCATCCTTTAGTTTGCTTCAGACGTCCACGCCGTCTCCTGTGGACGCCATCTCCTGTGGACGCCATCTCCTGTGGACACCATCTCCTGCTGTTCCTTCCATCCTCTGACTATTCAAGATGTCTTCCTTTCACGAGGACTTATTTTCACAAACGGCAGCCGTTCACCATCGGTTCAGTGGGAGTCCATTGAAGTAAAACGTTTTTATACTCGTTTTTTTTTTTTGCCGACATGTGGGTTCGCTGCTGGCAGTAACCCTGGAACACATGGACTCTGTAACTAAGGAACAAACACAACCTACTTCTGCTTTCTGGGTGGAAACCCGTCCCCCTACCTTCAGGGGGGGGAGGGGGGACCAGCCGACTCTCACAGCTATAAAATCACAAGAACATACCTCACAGTTTTTACTTAGTTTTTGCAGCATCTCTGCAGATTTCCTGCACGCTTTTCTTTCCAGGACGCCGTTTAGCTTTTGGCGTCTGCAGTGCGATCCCATCGGCGGGGGTCTCTGGGTCTGTATGCAACGCCATGACATCAGCCGACCTGCTCTCAGCTGCTTGTTTTGGGGATTTTTATTTTATTTTTTGTAATAAAGGGTTTAACCAAACTACTGGTTACCATAGTGACCAAAATGGGGCATTGCTGGAAACCCAGTCAGTTCTCAGATGATGTCGATGGAAAATGTCCATCTGTTCATGTTACAGGATGCGGAGTTCTGTCAGCTCAGCATACGCCTGCTAACCCTAACCCAGGGCTTCAGATTGGCTTTCAAAAAAACAAGATCCGGCAGAATTAATAAATATTTCTGTGTAATCTGGAAATAATTTCAGTCGTTCATCATGTACTGTAAAAATAAAAACATGCGGCTCATATTAAACTAAAAAAGAATAAATCTCATATCCTTTCAGCTCAGTAGTAGAATCCTTTCCCTATAAATATTTCTGTAATTATTCCAATTATTCTTTAATAAGATCCTCATCAAACAAACATTCAATGTTTTTTTAAAGCTAATGTATCCAGTGAACGTAGTGAAGGACTTTTTGTTGCTTTATGCGTTAAACTACGACAAAAATCCAACGAAGTTGGCTTTAAGGAGCGCCCAGCGGTCTGCAACCTTTCAGAGTCCCACCAATTAAAAGTTATTTTAAGCTCTAACGTAGATTTATACTTTTCAGAAAAAAACACCTATTTGTGGTTTTTTATTTAATCTCTTAATAGGAAATCAGTTTCCATCTTAAACAACCAATAATCTACATATTTTTAGTTTTTTCAAATAATATTAAAACACATAAATT